GGGAGAAAAGTTGTGTTTTGTCTACTTTATTTTTTTCTGTGTGGGTGTGTGCATACATTAGTGAATGTGTGGATTTTGGGTGGTTTTTTTTTAAGCATATCTCCGCCCCCTCCTTATCTTTGAAGAATTTTTAGAATTGAATGTAAAGGACCTCTGTAGTGCCCTGAGGGTGCCCCCAACCTCAGGGTGCCCCTCCCGCCCGGCTCTGGGGAGAGGAAAGGGTTAAAACTTACCTTTTTTCCAGCGCCGGGCCGGGAGCTCTCCACCTCTTCTCCTCCCTTTTGGCTGAATGCGCCGCAAGAGCTGCGCACGCATTCAGCCGGTCTCATAGGAAAGCATTTACAATGCTATGGACGCTTGCGTGTTCTCACTGTGATTTTCACAGTGAGAATCACGCAAGCGCCTCTAGCGGCTGTTAATGAGACAGCCACTAGAGGATTTGGAGGCTGGATTAACCCTATTATAAACATAGCAGTTTCTCTGAAAATGCTATGTTTATTCAAAAAAAAAAAAGGGGTTAATCCTAGAGGGACCTGGCACCCAGACCACTTCATTAAGCTGAAGTGGTCTGGGTGCCTAGAGTGGTCCTTTAATCAAAATAATTAGGAAACGTTCCTCACTTTAAAATTTTGAGAGAATGTCCATTACTTCTGATGTTTGTCTGCTGAGGTTTACTTCAATCAATAGGCAATATATGTCAGATCCTGCTTTTTTATTAAAATCCATGATGAAAGCACTAAACCTGAACAGTGCTCTGTTTACATCATACCTCAAAATGAATGAAATTACAAAAGCTTACGTTTGCTCAAAACATCATAATTCGTACCTGCACTATGCATCCAGAAGTAACTCCCATTTGTCTTTCATTAAGTGCCATATATGCAAAGTAAGCTTGCACAACAAAACTCTAGCTGGATCAAACAAGGTAACTCTTGCATGTTACTAAATATGCCAGCAAAGTGTTTTTTTGGTTTGTTTTTTTGGGGGGTTTTTAAACCGGGAACTTGGTGCAATGTGGAGATTTACCCCCAAAGAGTGCAATGGACCCAAACTGTACACTGGTAGTGGTTGAAAACCTTTTATACAAATGTAAAATGCAAGCTGCCTATGTTACATATAGGTAAAAAAAAAAAAAAGTCAAGTGTAGAAGTTTTGCTGGGTTTTACTAAACTTTTAGAACATGTTTTCCATGAGTATGTATAAATATATAAAAGCTGGGGACAAAAAGTTAAAAGGAAAAAGGTTTTCAGCAATAATTTTCAGAGCTCTTAGTTTCTGAAATTATGCCGCAAAAACTATTACCCAGGCAGCTTAAAAGGCATGCTAAAATAGACTGAACGGGGGGGGGGGGGGGGCCAACTTCCGGTGAGAGCGGACGCATGGAGTAAGTGCACTGAGCCCTCAGAAGCAGATATACGCACTTATTACCTTGTACTGAGTCAAGAACGACTATACTACTGCTGGATTTAGTGCAGGACATGATGGCACCATCCAAACAAACTAAATGAACGGATTCAATTCGTTCACAGAAGAAAGACCTCCACAAACAGATCCAAGATGGCGGCGACCCGCCGATTCCATCTCCTCCCTCGGAAGACCTTTCGGATCAGGAGGCCTCCGAATCAAAATACTCTGATAATTTGGTTACAGAGCCGAGCAAGCAGGGTTTGTTCCGAAGAAACAAGTGGGGGACAATACAAGATTTTATTTTTTTTTATTTATTTTTTTTTTATCAACTCGTTAGATTGGGCACACCGCAGCTCACAAAGGGGAATCCTATTAGCGTTGGACGTGGGAAAAGCCTTTGACCAGCTTAACTGGTTATATATGGAGGCTATGCTGTCAAAACTGGAATTTTCAGAGTCGTTCCTCAAGAGGATAATGGTGCTATATTCCCGTCCAACAGCTAAAGTGTTTAATACTGGCTTTCTATCATCTGCCATCCTGATCTCAAATGGCACACGCCAAGGCTGTCCCCTCTCATCTCTTATCTTTATACTTAGTCTATAGCCTCTAATCAGACAGATCAACACTTGTAATTCCATTCGAGGGTTGTCCACTCCTATACATGGTCCATAGACTTTACTTGCAGGCACACTTCCAGTGCTGCCTGCAAATTAATTATATTAACGTCTTGATATTGTGCTGTGCGCTCTGGCAACGAACATCATTTCTGCACAGAATTGACAGTTGGTAGTCTGGAACGGAGTTCCAGGCTGCCAAAGTCACATGTGTTGGGGGTTCTTATTCTAACCTTCATTAGAGCCGATGAATCCCTGCCTCTAAGGTTTAAAGGACTGTTGTCCTTTGTGGGTTAACACCACCTCAACTGGGAACCTGGATACCAATAACTGTTTCTCTATTTAAAAAAAAAAAAACTATAGTACCCCCGTCCCCTGCAGCACCCCCTTCTGTCACCTGATTCCAGCACCATTCTGTCACCTGATTCCAGCACCAGTGTCCCTTGGCGCTGGTTCAGGATCCGTCTCCTCTCCTCCCCCACCAATGTCAGCCAGCAGGGAGATCTATTGCGCATGCACAGTGAGTACCATGCTTGCATTAGGTCTTCCCCTTTAGGAAAGCATTGTTTAAATATCAGTTCTGAGTATTGCTTCAGACCAGAGGAAGAGAGGAAAAAGTGGAAAGCAAGTACATGGGGGCATGGTTATATTTGTAAGACAATACCCCGTAAAAATATTGGGTCTTTTTTGCACTAACCTATATTTGTGATTCTTATGTAAAATGATTATGTAACCTGTAGAAATGTAATAAACATATGTGAACAAAAACATGAAAGTATTACCACAAAATATGTCCAGCATTTGTAATAAAGTAGCTACACCAAACACAAAATACCCAAATTGGAATATTCTGAATTGAAATTGGTATGCCAAAATGGTGGAAATTTCAGACCTGAGGAATAGAGAAAAAGAAAAAACAAAACTCTCTGAAAGCTTGTATTATAATTGTTAGTCTGAAAAAAAAAAATAAAAAGGGGTATCATTACATACTGCAATAATCTGGTATTTTGAGGGAAATATATATATACACACACACACACACACACACACACACACACACTCGGTCTCACTACTGCAAGGGATTCTGGGTAGGCGTATGCAAATGAGCTCCACGAAGAACCACGTTTTTGCCTCATAATTCCACTTTATACATGGATTCCTTAGAGAATAGGCGGCTGTCTAAATCACCTTAGGGCAGACTGTGTCAGGTCCTCTGTCAGTGACCAAGGACCCGACACCAGGAGGGGACCCGGCGCCTTGCTCAGTATGCCACCGGGTGCGAGGCCCCTTCAGGCTGCCCGACCCGGACGGAGAGCACCTGTAGCCACTGGTCTGCATCTGCAATGCAATGTATATCCTCGGAACTGGGGGATCTGGGTGAACCATGTGAAGGACTTTTATGTATTTGCTTATATGCTTTCAGCTTAACCCTCTCCCTGCTGTTTTAATGTCTGTATTTGTTCAGTTCAAAATGTTGAGAATAAATGTATTCGTTTACCGAAAGGGGACCACACACCCTGGGTAGCAAGTAGCAATTAGAACACAGAGAAACCGCAACTTAATTGCTACTTGGTGGCCGCCATTCGACATACGAACACGTGGCGAGAACAAAGGATGGCGGCCATCTTAAAACTCACGAATGCGGTCAGCGGGGCTTACGCATGAATTGCATGGAACTGTTTTCAGTACGGGAAACATGCGAACGCCCGGTCCCCATGGAAGTCCTGGATGAATACGTTCCCCTCCACGAATCAAACTGGCGTTCGGTCGATAGCATCTACCGAATGAGGGAAACATTCACAGGTAACCAGCTGAAGCATACGAACGGTGGTTTTCGTGTAGTTAGATGCGAACAGAGACCGGCTCTTGCTACTGATTCTATGGAACTCTAACTCTGATACCTCCACATGGCAAGCCGGTCAAACTTCCACACGATGCGACACGGGAACTTCCGAATGGAATCTCGTGAGATTTGGATATGTGACTACCAGTATCCTCAGCTACCCAGGGATGTTAAAAGTATATTTGTATGTCTTGTAAAAAGTATGTTTCTGAAATTGTCAAAAACTGTAATGTTTCTGGCCAGCAGATAATTGAGCTTTGTGTATTGTAGAAACTCAATTATCTAGCCTGGCCCAGAGGAGGAGTTTTGTGTTGCATAAATTGTGAGTTCTGTGTGCCAGTAAATGTCTTGTTCCAGCATTAAGCTTTGGCTCATGTGTGGATTATTCGGCGATTCCAGGGATATTTCTACTTATGGAATATTGAGTGCTTTTCTTTTATGGGAAGAAGGGAATGCTTGACGGGGATATTTTCTACTACCGTCACAAACCACATATCCAAAATTCACCCAGATCCGTTCACTAGTTTGGAAGATGCAGTTTAGTGCAGATTCCGCAGAACATATCCAGGCAATATGAAAAATAATTACTGTATAATGTGTCCCCTGTTGTATAGTTTAAAACTACTGAACGATGTCTTGTGCACCAAATACCGGCGAGATGGCACCGTGCAGAAAAGTCCAAACCGTGTCTGTAAATGAAAATGGCCGCCATACATTGTTCTCACCATGTGCCTCTGATACATGAAATGGTGGCCACCCAGTAACTCCACAGTATGTCCCCAGATGGTTCTTAAAGGGCCAGCAGCGGCACAACACAAATCCATTATGCCCAAATCATGTCTTTAAAGGGCAATACATCCCAGGGGCCATAGTCACATGGCAGGAGGCTGGCAATCAGTCCTCTCCAATGCCCAGTGGCGAGGTCGGTTTCGCCAGATTTCTCCCCTTTCCTAAAAAGACTAACAAGGTATCTGACCTCCTGTTGGTCAGTGCCTTGGTTAGTCCAGCAACCCACCCATAAAATATAATCAACAGAGTGGCCCACCCACAAGAATTGGTTACTGCACCTGGGGTAGTGGGTACAGGGCCGTCTTTAATAACGAATGGACCCTGGGCAAGTGTTTGATTGGGCCCCCTGTGCCCTGCCGCTCTCGCCCCTCACTCCCTGGTATGCAATCACGGCATCCATCCCAACGCAGTGGCGGTACTAAAGTAGAATGAATTTTATTGGGACCCCCAATTGCAAGGTTGGACTAAGGGTAGAACCCCATCTGTCGTGCAACTCCAACAATGCTTTGACAGCTGGGACTCTACCAATTTCCCATGCTTGCAGGGTTGTATTTAGCACTGAGCCATGTTAGTATGTTTGAATGTAAACATGTGTTTGTATGGAGTATGTTTGTGTGAATGTGTTTGTATGTGGTACTGGAGTTTGAATACAAGTGTGCATTTATGTGTAGTGTTTGTTTTTGAATGTAGGAGTGTGCTTGTATGTAGTGTTGACGTTTCAATGCAGGAGTGTGTTTTATATGTAGTGTTGAAGTTTGAATGGAGAGGTGTATTTGTATTTAAAGTTGCGGCTCAGATGCACAGGTACACACTCTGACGCACAAGCAGATACACAGATACATACACTGACTACATACAGATAAACAGGCACATACACTGACAGACACACTGACACAGGTACATATATTGACACACAGACACATACACTGGTAGACGTACTGACAGACATACTGACACAGGCACATATACAGACATACTGACACACACACACAGACACATACACTGATCAACATACTGACACCCACATACACTGAGAAATACTGACACACACACACAGGCACATACACTGACACAGACAGACTGATATACTGACACACACACAGACATACTGGCACACAGACAGATATACTGACACATGCATACACATGCACTAACAGACATACTGACGCACTGACAGACATACTGACACATACACATACTGACACACACAGATATACACACACATATATACTGACACACACACACACACATACACTAACACACATACACAAACACATACACTAACACACATAAACAAACACACACATAAACAAACACACACAAACACTAACACACACAAACACTAACACACACATACACACAAACACACTTTTTTTTTTTTTTTAAATGTAATCCCCCCAGCCTCCTTACCTTTTGGAGTGCTGGGGGGGATTCCCTGGGGTCCAGCGGTGCTGCTGGGCTCCTGGGTGGGTGGCTGGTCGGGCAGGAAGGCGGGCGCGCGAGGGAGCACTCACTGCTTCCTCTTCAGCTCCCTCGCGCGCCGCGTAGGGATGCCGGCGCCGGAAGATGACGTCATCTTCCGGCTCTGGCATCAGTGCGGTGCGCGAGGGAGCTGAAAAGGAAGCAGTGAGTGCTCCCTCGCGCGCCCGCCTTCCTGCCCGACCGGCCACCCACCCGCCGGGGTCAGCGGGGCCCACGGGGCAGGTGCCTCGGGCCCCCCCAAGAGAAACTGGGCCCGGGGCAGCTGCCCCGTTTGCCCCGCGTTAAAGACGGCCCTGAGTGGGTAGCTTGTCCATGTTCAGGGGCTCCACCACGGTTCTCGGGGGTGTAAAGGATCCTTCTATTAGTGCAGCGATGATCCTTGCAGCTTCTCCCGAAATCCAGCTGAAACAAAGTGATTATAACTCCCAATCCCCCAAACATGAGTTGAGACTTCATGAAGGGGTAAAACGATCTGATTTACTGTGGGCTACCCGCCCGGTATTTATGCAGGTCTCCCACCTGGTGGACACTCCCCTAGGGGACCAGATGGAAGACTGGGACAAAAGTAACACAGTAGCCAATCACAGTGGTTATAACGTAAGCACTCCCCTTTTACATAAATCACTCCCTCTTTTCCATCCTGGAGATAATTAACTTAAGGTAGCAAAGAGAGCCTTAATTATCTCCAGGAAGAAAGAAACATGGCTTTTCTTATTTCAGCAAAACAGAATAAAAATCTATAACTTTCTTTTTACACAACATAAACTTTAAGTTCCACATATCCCCAGATAGCTTGGATCTGAGTGCATATTCTAGGCGAATAGCGCTCAGATCCCACGAACACAGTTCTCAGTATCGTCGACTAAAGTTTGACTTTCACCGGCTGTTCGTGTGTTTGTAGCCGACTGCAAGTTCCATACTATAGCTATCTGGGGTCGGTCACTTTTGCATACTTTCAGCGCACGAATGAAGTAGTATCCCCTTCATTCGTGTATTTTTCCATCGTACGAACGAGGATGGGAGGAGGTAGCAGCGGTGTTCAACAAAATAAGTAGCCGAAATCAGTTCCAGGGAATCCTCGCCATTTACCGCTGTGCGTTCGACAATACGGTTGTCCGGTTGTGACCCAGCAACAGGCCCGCACCACAGCTCCGCCTAACCACTCTGAGGCTCAGGTAAGCAATGAACCCCCCATGCCCGCTGTCATGCCCTGGGCGAACCCCCTAGAATTTGGTTCTGAAGTGGCCCTAGACCCCTCCCTGCAGGTATACA